GAATAACAAATCTAGAGGTTAAATTGAACTCATAGACCATAAAGCCATCTTGAGCTTATTATAACTACGACTGGCATAGTAGCCAAGTCAGTTGTTTCAATGAACTTGTGATACATCAAGTTTTCACATTTGCCTTAAATTTTATAAACCCAACACCATGGCCGAATGCATATTTATTCCACAGATATTGGTTTTCCTTCATCAAAGGTAAAATGTACATTTTTACTGTAAGTTGTTTTTTTATTTTAAAAAATGGTTTTGTTGCCCTGTCACATGTCTACAGACATTTTTGAACATTTCAAATTCAAGTGGCTTTAAAAGAGATTTGAATTTTACTTTGCAGAAGCGGTAGATAAAATATGTGTGTGTGTTGTACAGAGGAAGACGCTGACAGAGAACAAAGAGAAGAGACTGCAGGATAAGATCCAGTTGCTGCAGGCAAAGATAGAGGAACTGGAACTGGAAGCTGCTGCAGCCAAGAAGTAAACATCAACTCTCATTACAATAAATAATCACATTAAAATGATCTCCTATTGTAGGTGACTGGTCAAAGTTACTCGTGTCTTGGTACCATGCCACCCTAGCAATTAAAAGTGTTATAACATGTAAATATCCGTTAATCTTAAATCCTTATTTCCTCTCTCCCTCCAGACGTTCATCATTCTCAGTGGAACAAGCTCAACTCAGCAAAAGGCTGAAGGAGCTGCAGCGGCGACATAACGAATTTCGACACCTCCTCACCTCCTCACCCAACCCATTCTTCCTCCTTGGCAATGAGGGGCCATTAGCCAACATCCCAGTAAGCACAAGCAGGCGAACACACACACATATGAAAATGTAGTAGGGTGTTTGTAGTCTAAATCCAATTGCAAAAAAGTCATAGGTTATAAAGCATGTCGTCTGAAATATGATAAAAAAGTCATAGGTTAATATGTCGTTCGAAATATGATAATAAAGTCATAGGTTAGTATGTCGTCTGAAATATGATAAAAAAGTCATAGGTTAGCATGTCGTCCAAAATCACCTAAAAAATAATATGATAATAAAGTCATAGGTTAGTATGTCGTCCAAAATCACCTAAA